TGAATAGTTGTTAATGGGGACTGTTAGTGACTAACAACAGGGGGTGTGTAATGGCAGGCTATGTGGTAACAAGGCCTGGTGTGTGGGGTAGGGGGCTGGGACATGGGAGAGTTTAGGCCCTAAAATTATTGAACTCAATATTGAGTCCGGAGGGCTGTAGGGTCCCCATGCGGAAAATGAGGTGTTGTTCTTCCAGCTTGCGTTGGGCTTTGCTGGAACGCTGCAGCAAGCCAGAGACGGAGATGTTGGCCAGAGAGCAGGGTGGTGCGTTAAAGTGGCAGGCAACAGGTAGTTCAGTTGAATCCAACTAGCTAGCTCTCCCTGGATCCCATGCGAACCAACTTTCATGACTAACCTGCCTTGTGGGACCTTGTCAAAGGCCTTACTAAAGTCCATGTAGACAACATCCAACGCCCTATCCTCATCCATCCTCTTGGTTACCTCTTTGAAAAATTCTAAAAGATTTGTCAGACATGACTCCCTGTGCACAAATCCATGCTGACTATCCCTAATCAGACCCTGACTATCCAAATGTTGGTTGATCCTGTCCCTCAGAATCCTCTCCAATAACGTGCCCACCACAAATGCCAGGCTCACTGGCCTGTAGTCCCCTGGCTTGTCTTTGCTACCTTTCTTAAACAATGGAACAATATTAGCCACCTTCCAGTCTTCTGGAACTTCACCCATGGCTAAAGATGAAGCAAAAATCTCTACAAGGGCCTCTGCAATTTCTTCCCTAGCCTCCCACAACATCCGTGGATGGACTTGATCAGGCCCAGGGGATTTATCCACCTTAATGTGCATTAAGGCTGCAAACACCTCCTCTCTGATAATATGTATGCAGTCCAAAACATCCCCACTTGTTTCCCTTATTTCCTTCGTATCCATGATTCTCTGCCCAGTAAACACTGAGGAGAAACATTCATTAATAATCTCCCCCTCCTCCGTGGCTCCAAACGTAGATGGCCATGCTGATCTTTAAGATATTATCTCCATAGCCAACCTTTTACTCTTAATATAGCTATAGAACCCCTTGGGATTATCCTTAACCTTATCTGCCAGATCAATCTCATACCCTTCTTGTTGCTCTTCCGATTTTCCTCTTAAGTGTGCTTCCACACTTTTTATAGTCTTCTAGGGATTCACTTGAGCCCGATAGCTTTTCCTTCTTCTTTTCCCTGACCTGAGCCTCAATATCCCTCATCAGCCTGAACCTGCCAGCTTTTCCCTTCACTGTAACAGGAACATACTGTCCCAGGACTCTTGATACCACAGTTTTAAAAGCCTCCCATTTGTCAGTCATTCCTTTTCCTTGAAACAGACTCACCCAATCGACCTCCGCTAGATCCTGCCGAATGGCCCCAGAATTGGCCCTGGCCCAGTTTAGCACCTTAACCTGGGGACCTGTCCTATCTGTTTCCATAACTATGTTAAAACTAAGAGAGTTATGGTCACTGGACCCAAAGTGCTCTCCCACTGGCACTTCAGTCACTTGCCCGACCTCGTTCCCTAAGAGGAGGTCCAATGTTGCACCCTCCTGTGTAGGGCCCTCTACATACTGATTTATGAAACTTTCTTGGACACGTTTGACAAATTCCACCCCGTCTGGGTCTTTTATACTCTGGGTGGCCCAGTGAATACAGGGGAAATTAAAATCTCCAACCAATACTGCTCTGTTATTCCTACAGATATCTGCAATCTCTCTACACATCTGCTCCTCTCGCACCCGCTGGCTATTTGGGGGTCTATAATACAGTCCCAGTAGAGTGACCACCCCCTTCCTGTTTCCAAGTTCTAACAATATTGGCCTCATTTGATGATCCCTTAAGAATATCCTCTCTAAGCACTGTTGTTATGTCCTCCCTTATCAAAAGGGCAACTCTCCATATCGCTTACTTGTGCTTCTGTAGCCAGGAACACTGAGCTACCAATCCCGCCCTTCTCTCAGCCCTGTTCCTATTATGGATGTAATATCCCAGTCCCCAGAGCCAATCCATGCTCTGAGCTCCTCTGCTTTACCAGTCAGGCCTCATGCATTGAAATAAATGCACTTTAAACCGGAAGTCTTATCCCTCCCTTTACTGTGCCCCTGGCTATCCTGAATAGCAAACTTGCTCTCAATGGGGCTAATGTATTTACCCCTGCCTTCTCAATGGCCCCTCTCTTATTCAGAGTCCCATCCCCTCCCTGCCAAACTAGTTTAAACTTATCAAATGCCTTTTACAGCTCTCAATACACTACATCCACTGGTTCTCCCTTATCCACACTCGAATGAATGCTGCAAAGGACAATTTGCCCCTTTCACTAAACCACGGAGACTCTGCCCCTTTCAAGAACAGTCTTCTCAATTCCCGGCCGCTCGTTTAAGTACAGATTCGAACATTTTTCCCACTTCCCGTCCTGTCCTTCCGCGATCGGGGATGGGCTGGCCAGCACGCAGGCAATTTAAAGAATTAAAAAAAACCAAATCTTATTCGTCGCCAGGGTGACACGAGGAAAGCGGAAGATCCCAAGTGTTACCTGACGCAGCCGGGGACCAAAGAGGAGCAGGAGGCGAGAGAGAGTCAGTTCGGCAAAGGGGTGCATGCCTCCTTGGCTGCCATCAAGGACAGCTTTCAGATCGCCACGCTGGTATGCTCCACCAAACTCACGCAGAATGGTACGTCCCGGGGCAGACGCGAGGTACAAATGTGGCATCTGCAAACGAGACGCGGTCTTTCTCTCTCCCTCTGCGTTGCAGTTTTGTCGGGATGGATCCCCGGGAATTCAGCGACAAGTCCTGCAGATTGTGTGTGACCCAGCCCGCGCTTGCTCGGCCCAAAACGGATTTTCCACGCCCCCCACCGCCTCACCCGAATAGGACGGCACTTTACTGCAAAATCCCGATTGTGCCAATAGCTTGGAACATCTTCTGTGATGATCCGTAGGCTGGAGTGCCACTTAGCAACGCCTCAGCCTATCAAACGCCACCCAGTCATCCCTTTTTTCCCTCCTGTAGTATAAATTATGATGCTCTTCTGAAATTTGGCATTCTTCGCTTGATGTTCAATGGTGTTAACATCATTGTATCCCCCCTACTATCAATATCCTGGGGGTTACCATCCCCAATGAGAGAGAATCTAACCATCACCCCCTTGACATTCAATGGTGTTCCCATCACTGAATCCCCCCACTATCAACATCCTGGGGGTTAGCACTGACCACAAACTGAACAGGACCAGCCCCACATAAACACAGCGGCTACAAGAGCAGGTCAGAGGCTGGGAATCCTGCAGCGAGTAACTCCCCTCCTGACTCCCTCCCAAAGCCTGTCCCACCATCAACAAGGCACAAGTCAGGAGTGTGATGGAATACCCCCACTTGCCCCGGATGGGGGCAGCTCCAACAACACTCGAGAAGCTCGACACCATCCAGGGACAAAGCAGCCCCCCCGGTTCGATTGGCCCCACATCCACAAACATCCCACTCCCCCCCCACCACCGACGCTCAGTAACAGCAGTGTGTACCATCTACAAGATGCACTGCAGCAACTCACC